AGTACCTATAGATGTGGGTGAATTCCTCTTTTCTTGAGGTCTCCAAAATATCTCAAGATTCCTGGGCCTTCCTTGCAAGAAGTGACCTTCTTTACTCACCTGTAAGTCTGGGAACCCTGTAAGCCAGGTACCAGGCCAGTTTTCTCAAGAGGACTTTGTAAGTATTGGCTCCATAAAGTCAACCTTAGTTCCTTAAAGCTGTCTGGTCATATCTGATTCTGTGCATATCATTTTCAAATATGACATTCCAATCAACGTCTTGGTTATATATGCAATGTTTCTAATTATGTCCTGTTACAAGGAGGACAGATCCCTACTGAACTTATGCAAATAATTATATTGCCATGGAAATAAGAATACTCAATAAGAGTTTTCAAATTCTGGAGAGAGGACTTCCCTGATGGCAGAGTGGTTAAGAATCTGCCCGCCAATGCAGAGGACAGGGTTCGAGCCCTGGTCTGGGAAGATCCCACATGCCATGGAGCAACCAAGCCCATGCACCACAACTACTGAGCCTGCGCTTTAGAGCCTGCAAGCCTCAACTACTGAAGCCCATGCACCTAGAGCCCATGCTCCGCAACAAGAGAAGCCACTGCAATGAGAAGCCCATGCACCACAATGAAGAGTAGCCCCTGCTTGCCGCAACCAGAGAAAGCCCACACACAGCAACGAAGACCCAATGCAGCAAAAAATAAATAATATAAATTTTAAAAAATTCTGGAGAGATCAGTTAGGGAGAAAATATAAAAGTTTCATTTCTGTTTACAAAAGTACAATATACTAGTTGTCATGAGTATAGTTAACTAAAGAGAAAAGAGAAAGGGGTTCCTTGAACCCAGCAGCGATATTCCAAACAAAAGCTATAATCATCGTTCATCAGTTCATTCAGTGCCATATAATTCATTCTTGTTCTTCTTGATCTTGGGTTAGCAGCTTAATGAACCCATTAGTTCTCCACTGGAGTTCTGAAAATCCTAAGTCCACTGGTATGGTCTCAAAATTATTTCAGTAATGCCATCAGAAGCCTGTGCCCCAGATTACCTGGCACAGTCCTTTCTGGGGCTCTGAGACTGATTGTTAAATTTTCAGGAATTTTGTGAGTGGGTTGACATCACATTGGTAGCTTGAAATTGGCTACGGTGGGTGTATTTACACCACAGAAATCAGTAAGTTAAGGATCCCCCCCCCAACCGCCACTCCAGAGCTGGTAGTTAAGCATTTACCAGCACAATACCAGGCACCTCCAACTCAGCATATCCCAAACTGAACTCCTTATCTCCTCCCATAAAACCCACTCCTCACCCTATATTCCCAATCTTTATGTGAATGATGTCACCACAGATCCAGTTGTCAAGCAAGAAAACTTTGGCACTGTCCATGACTCCTTTTTCCCCATCACTCACCACATTAGTCACTGAGACTTGTCAGCTCTCCCTCAGAAATATTTTCCTGAACTAATCTTCTCTGTCACTATTTTAATTCAAGCTCCTATCATTTTTTACCTGCACAATTGCAATAACCTCCTGAGTGATCTGCCTGCCTGCAGTACATCTGGGCACTATTTCCCATGCAGTCTTCCCGAAATACCTCAGTGCAATCCCATCACTTGTCAACATAAAGACCGCAGCTGGGTCTCCTTTACCTGTGGGAGAATGTCCAAGATTGTCAGCAGCACCCACAAAAGCCTTCATAATCTCGCCTCAGGTCTTATTCAGCTTCATATTCCCCACCCCTCCCTACTGTATACCCCATGATCTGGTATGAATTGCTTATTGTTCCCCAAATGTGGCCTATTCTCTCAAAACTTTAAGCCTTGGCCCATGGTATTCCCTCTGCCTGAAATCCTCTCTACCACTCAGAGCCTGGGAAATTTCCCCTCTTCTTTGAAGACCTAGCTCAGAGTTAATATTCTCTGTGAACTCCCCAAGGAAAGTTAGTCTCCTCCCTCCTCCACACACAGAGTCTGTTTGTTCCTCTAATATAGAACTAATCACCGTTTTGTAGCTATCCGTTTTATAAGTCTGTCTCCCCCAACTAGACTGTGTCTTACCCCAGAGCCTAGCACAGCGCTTACAACCTAGTGAGAGCTCAAAAAATGTTGTTGAAAGAAGAGATGGGAGGATGAATGAATGGAGTTGATTCCTAGCTCTAATAACTGGGCTGTTTCCTGGTTTGTTGTATAGAAGCCCATACTTTAAGCCCCATTCAGGTGCTCCCAGCTCCTTAGTCCTACCTTGGTGCCCTGTCTGGCACCTTAGTCTTTGCTAGAATAGTGCTTCATCTGGCTCTTGCCAGACCTTTTGACATCTGGCATCCTGCTCTGGAAGCCCAGGCCCCATGGCAGAGCCTCTGTCACTGGCTGCCAGAAACTCTGGCTGCCAACCACCTGCCTATCTGGGCTTCCTCCTAGTGTCTGCTGTATCCTGGTTACCCTGATGCTTGCTCTACCTGCCTGTCTAAATAGCTGACTGGGGACTCTGCTGCTGCTTCTGGGATCTTCTGCTTTACCTGGTCTACTTTCAGAGTCCTGGCCCTCCTGTTTTGCTTCCCCTGCCATCAAAGGAGTTCCATTTCTATCATTGTCCAACTAGAAGATTAGGTAAAGCATACTGATTAAATTCATGGGCTCTAGACTCTAACTGCCTAGATTCAAATCTCACCTCTTCCACTTACAGCCAGCTGTGTGATCTTGGGGCCAGTCACTTCACCTCTTTGAACCACAGTTTTCTCATCTACAACATGGACATAATAATGATACCTACATCATAAGGCCAATGTGAGATGTAAATAAGATAATGTACTTAACACAGTACCTGGCACATAGTACGTACTCAATAACTATTTGCTATCATTCTTATTTTTATGTTCCCAGTATCTAAGACAGAGTTGGCATTCAACAAGTGTGTGTTGAGAAGGGAGGAGGGAAAGGAATAACAATCAGTGGTTATTAAAGCTTTCCTGATCAAAGTCTACTCCATCTGCAAATTCCACTCCCACCTCAGGATGTAAATCCCTTGTGGCCATTTGGTTCTGTCACTCAGCTATTTCTGAAATCGCAACTCCTCTAGGAATCCCTTACAATTAAGAGCCAATAGCTTTGCTTGTCCCAATCTACCTAGATCTAAAACTCTCACAACTGCCCACCCCCACTTTCATCACCATTACATGCATTTATCCTGATTCCTTAGCCACAAACGGCATTGATCCCCAGATGTGTCACTGGCATGAACATCTCTGGAATCCACATTTTACCACATTAGCCCACTTCTCCCCTCCCATCTCCATGTGTTAGTGTTTTATGCATTTTCCGTGTCATTCACTCCTTGTTGCCTTCGATGGTCAGGGCAAGGACTGTGTGCAAACTAATGAGGATAGACAGAGCTTTGGACAGAGGAACACTTCCGAATTGTTTTTTGATGAAGATGAAGGAGAGAAGGTGCATGCAGAAGCTGAGAAAGGGACAGGATTTGTGTCCCCACTTACTCTTCACCCCAGCAGGGGCAGAAAGCATGCTGCCTCTTTCTTGTTCATTGGCTACATTCCTCTCAGAGGCCAGAGGGGCAAGCCTGGACAATGCAAATGAGCTGTGTGGATGGGACTTAGCCAAGGGGCCTCCAAAGGGAGAGCAGCGGGGCTGCCGAGGAGGGAACAGAAAAGGAAGGTGCCTTACATATTTCTCAGCACCTTCTTTTCCCCAAGCAACAAACTACTCTCTTCTCCCAGAGACACAATACCAAAGTGCATAAGCTCCCCCTGAATAGATGCCCGAGCCTGAGAGCACTTCGCAAACTGGGTGGTCCCTGAGTCTCTAGGCTTTGGTATGATACTCAGACTCCAGGGAATTTGTTGTGCACCCACTCTGCACAAAGCCCTATACAGGCAGTGTTAAACCTAGGCAAACTGAAGCTTTCAATAACAGGCTTTAGCTGTGGCATAAGAGACAGAGAGAAGTGGTGATGAGCATGTGAGCATGAAAGAGCAACTGAGCCTACAAGTGCCCAAAGGGGACAAATTCAGCCAGTTCCTTGCCAATTTCTTACTATCGATTTTCTGCTGGCGTCACTTCACCCTATCCGGGGAAAGCATGCTGTGAGGACACTTGCCCAGGTGAAACTCCATTCATTCACTTATTTAAATGGACGGGGTCAAGGACAGCTTCTAAGTTCAGTCCCAGCCCCCTACTTGTTTTGCTCACCGCCCCCCACCCCCAACCGCCCACTTCCCTCTCCACACCATTAACGACTCCAAGTCTGTTTCCCCTTTAGGGCCGTAGTCCCCAGCACAGCTGTCGTATGTGCCTGATGCAGATGCCCAAGAGACCCACAGAAATGTTTGAAAACTTCCAACCCTAATTGCGCCTCCCCTTGAGTCCTCCCTCTGCGAGGCCAGCCGCTGAAGCAGGACTACTTGACCTTTGCTAGGAACTCAGAGCTGCCTGGGGTTTGGAATTGAACTGGAAACAGAGGCAGAAGGCAGCCCCCATCACCCCATCATCATTTCTCACGAGAAAGAGAAAGCTCAAAGAACAGTGACGGGTTAAGCTCCTTATAAGGAAACGAACCTTCCCGTTCCTGCGCGGAAATTGTTTTCTGCTTCTGTATCTTTCGAATACACTGTAAAAACTACACTTGATAGGATTCACAAAAACCATTCCCCCAAGGGTGGGGGACAGCTTGGAGCCAAGAGAGATAGGACGGGCGGGGCGGGTATAAGTAAGGACCGTCAGCGAAGAATTTAAGGGATGAGTCATCAAAAAGAAGCTGGGAAAGAGAGCGGAACAAGTAATCTGAGCTGGGAAGGAGGCGAGCATTCATTAGGCACAGACCGTGTCAATCACGTCTGCTCCACAAATGACCTGAGAGCCTCCCAGGCTTCTCAGACCGGAAAGAGGGTCTCAGTGGGCGGTCGTAAGGCTTTGAAATCGGAAAAGACAGAGCGCGAGCAGCAGTCGGAGGAGTCTGATGCAGCGCCGGTAGGCTGCTTGGAAAGATGGCGTTTGCCATCAAGGTCGCATGGCTACTTTAGGGGACTAAGAGAAATACTAGTGAGAATGATAGGAACAGCCAACTAAGGATTCAGATTTTCAGAAGCAGTCTCGAATCCAAATATTTTTTTGCCAGTTAAACTCATAAGCACACTTAGGTTTGTCAGAACGTAGGTCCTAAAAAACATAAAAACGATATGGGAAGGGGTGGAGTTTCACCGGGGCTCTTCTCTCAGGGAGCAGGAAAGTGTGGGAGCTCCCAGGGCTCAGGGTGACTGCACAACCAGAAGGCAGCTGGGTGCCTGCCAGGAGGCAAGGTGGGAGGCCGATTCTGCCTGGGACTGCTAATCTCACCAGATCTATGTCAGGCTAAAGTCTAGGCAGCTTGGTCTAACTTCTGGCCTTTCACCTGTTTTGCAAGGTTGCCCTGAAACAAAAGGACTTGGTTGGGTTCCCTGTACATTGCACCAGGTAAGTTCACCTACAGTTAGACTTCAGCTGATCCAGGATAGGATAAGGATTGTTAGTTAACCCCTAAACCCATTTGTTTGTATGTTCTTTTGTTAGTCTTCTTATCTGTTTCCTAGCAGATGTTACTTTAAAAAAATTGGCAACCCAGTTGTAGCTAAACTACAGGATAAAAAGGGATTTAACTTCTTGGCCAGTCCCGTTTGGGGGCCTCCACTCATGCCACCCTGTATTGTAGGGACCAGGGAAGAGCTGGGACATGTAAAAGTAGTGATCTGAGAATGAAAGCATTCTAATCTAGCTGATTCCTTCCATTTGCACTTCAGCCATTTTCAGTCTCCCACCCACAATCCATAATCCAAACAGAGCTACCCAGGATTCCCAGCACTCAGAGGAGCCTGCAAAAGCTGTGCCTGAGAAGATGGGGGCACAACAGAAAAGCAGACTTCAAGGGTACCTGAGAATGCAGGCAGTGGCAGAGGGATTCACCTCTTCACTAGCTCAGTCTTGTCCTTACTCAGCTCCGGCCATCCCAATTCAAGCGACCCCCTCAATCTACCCTCTACGATTACCCCATTGTGAGGCATCATCAGACCAATTCGGTTTTAGTTTTATCGATCGTTTTGAATCTATTCAGGAATGGGGTTTGAGGGCAAAAGGGGCTACCGTCTGTTCTACTCTCTGAGGCCCCCCCATTCTCCCTCCCCTAACCTTTTAGAAGGGCTGTAGGAAGCCTAAGTATAGCCTCCGGGAACAGATTTCTCTTGGAAGAGTTTGGGCTCAGTCCTTCTAGAACAGTATAACTCAAACGGGAGGAAACAGAGGTGAGCTCATGGGGGAACCAGACCTTTTTACTGTTCCTCCCTTGGCCACCCTAGAGGCTGACAACAATGTCTCTTGGTCAGATCTGAAAGACAGATCTTGTAGCATCTGTTACGGATATTCAAGCCATCGTAAGAAAGTGTGTGTGAGTGGGGTTGGGTGGAGGAAGGGGGACACAGCAAACATAATCCTGTAGTACTTGGGTAAGCACACATCTCCAGGGGTACTCTGGGGGAAACTGGAGCTTTAATGACAGAGGAAAGGATGGCCATGAGGCCTGCCTGGAGCAGCATTTTCCCTTTCTCCCTCTTCTTTTCTGTTACCCAGACCCCAGAGTGACTCTACCCTACTGGAAGGAAGCTTGCCTCATCCTAGATGCTGGGCGGTGGTCCAGTGCTCTCAACTTAGGAAGGAGGCTGCTATATTCCATCTCGGACACCAGGTGGCACCAAAGTATAACCATAACTCCAAAGAAACCGGCAGGAAATGGACCTTGAGAGAGTCCTTGAACTATTTTCCTCTCCCTCCCCACTCCCCACGTGGAATTGAAAAATAAGAAGCCTTTCAGATATGGTGGATAACTCTCATTCAATAAAAACGCTTGAATCTTTAATCTTCCAGCTGAAGATTCCAAGGATTTAAATGCAGCCTCAGTCCTCACCCTTCTCGGAGACCTATTTCTCAGCGGCAGATAAGGAAAATGGGACTTTCCTGGAATCATTTCAGATGCCTCCACCCTCCAGAAGAGTTGTTTTTCTTCAAGGTGGTCAGCTGAGGAGTAGCAGACATCAAACCTCGGCGGCTCTGCTCAAATCCTGGGCCCCCTTCTGAAGGGCTGAGTGCTGTCATGGGCATGCTAGGAATGACCATGTCTAAACAAGTTGTGATGTGGCCAACCAGCCTCATGGCCTCTTACAGTCAAACAGGACTGCTTCCAGCCCCTCAGACACGCTCCATAAATCCCCATTCCCAGGCTCCTCCACCTGGAATTCTGTCCACTCTCAGCTGTTTTTATCTGTCAGATCCAAGGCACTTGTTGAGGTGCAGATAGAGCTCCATGAAGCCTTCCTTCACTTCCCCCAGTCTGAAGGGACCTCCACTTTTCTAAATTACCATAACAACTTGTGCCATTTGCCCTATTCTTCTACTTTATGTTATAGTTGTTTTTGAACATGTCTCCCCTACAAAATTATGAGCTCCCCAAGGGCAAGGACCATATTTTATGTATCTTTTTTATACCCTGTACTGATGAACACAGTAGGCACTCAATAAATAATGATAATAATATCTTACATTTGTATGGTGCTTACAGTTTACAAAGCACATTCACATCCATTTTCCCATTTAATCCTCACAACAACCCTGTGAGGTAGGTGTTATCATCCCTGTTTTACAGATGAGCAAACAGACTCAGAGAAGTTAAAGAACTTGCCCATGGTCATACAGCTGGGAAGAGGCAGAGATGGGTCTGAATGCAGTTTTTCTGACCCTAAATTCAGTTCTTTCAACTTTCTCTACCTGAGCTGGTGGCTGGAAATTCCTTCCTGGAGACTGAGGTCATGGAACTCATCATGGGACTGGGGAAAAGGGAGCGGAAGATCTAAAGGTCAAACTCCTTTCATCTCTGCTCCATTCGCTTCTCCCTCCCTTGTTTCCAAAGAGGATTTCAGAATGCAATCTCACTTTGTTTAAGAATGTCCTGGTGTGAGATGTCCTTGTGGATAAGAAGAAAAAATGTGGGGTGAAGATAGGACAGTAAAGGTGTATTCACAGCCGGTGACTAGTGGATCTTTGGAGGCCTGAAGGGAGGTCCCTGGCCTGTCCAATAATTTAATTAACAACTTGGATCAGGACATTGATGGCATGCTGGTCAAATTTGTAAATGATGCTGGTTTCAGGAAGATCCCAAGAGGCCATAATGAACGAGGAAAATGAAATGTGAAGTTTCATAATCTAGTTCATCAAAACCAAATGCTTCAGTGCAAGGGAGGAGAGACGTGACTCTGTGTGAAAGGGTTTCAGGTGTTTGAGGTGCCTGTAGGCTCATTATTTTTGACATTAGCTGCCTGCAATGCTAATGAATTCAGGGCTAGGATGTGGGAGATTACAGTTGTGCTTTCTTCTCTGCTCACTAGACCACAGTGGAGGACTGTCTTTAGCCTTGGACACCACACAAGAACAGGGGCATTAGCAACCTGGAGCATGCACAAACGACGGAGACCAGGAGTGTGAGGGGATTTTAGAATCATCGTCTGTGAACCTGGAGAAGGGATCAAAAAGGGGATGGTGGTGGATCCAGATCAAGTTTTCAAATATTGGAAGCTTCATCATATAGAAGAAGGAGTCATCTTGTTTTGCTCGATAAGAGGGACAAAGGGCATGTGCTCTGGGAAAACATATTTTGACTCAACCTAAGGAAGAACTTTATGATGGTTCAAGATGACCAAATATTATGCAATGGTCGGCTTTGAAAGGACAAGATATTCCCATCACTGGAGGTATTTAAACAGAGAGAGGCAAGATAACTATTGGCAAAGAGGTTGCAGAGGGGATCAAGCATCAGATCATAAGGGTGAGGAATTAGGCAACTATTAAGTCAGCTTCTGACACTGTAATTTGGGGATTCAAGTCAGGGGTAGGGGTGGGGGCCAGAGGTGAAAATCGTTGTGGCCCTCAAAGTAGGTACCTCCCAACCAGTTACTATCTCTGCTTCCAGCCTGCCCTGCACAGAGACTCCAGTAATATTTTTCTGAATACTTTATCATGAGACTTTCCAGCTCACGTATCATAGAATCCCAGTAACTCTAGAGGTCATCCGGCACAGTCCTTTATCAGATGCTTTCTTTGCCTTTGAATCACCCACATGGAGTGATTGTCCAGTCACTGTTTGAATATCTCTGGTGATGGTGAGCTGCCTACCGTTTGGGGTAGTCTATTTCTAATTTCAGAGACTATTACTAATCATTAGAAAGTTCTTCCTAAACACAGCGAAATGCTTATATCAGGCTGTTGAGATTAGGAAATTTTTTCTTCTCTGTTTTTGAAACTGTGGGTAGTAAATTTTAAAAGGACTTCAAGAGGCTGGAATCATGAGCCAAAATTTTTATTATCATTTTTTTCATTATAAAAAAGAAAGAAAAAAAGCCTCTTCCTCTGTTGAACCAAAATCTGCTTTCCTGTAACTTCCACCCATTAGATCTCAGAGCCCTTGGAGTCATACACAGAATAAATCTACAGCTTCCTCTTCACCATGAGCCCAGTAATGATTTGCTGACAGTAGACAAATTTCTCTGGGGATTTGCTAGTCCCCTCACTATTCTCACCACTCTTTCTCTGGCTGTACTTTTGTTGACATGTCCTTTGAAGTGTGATGCCTCCATTGAACGGAGGACCTCAGGTGTGGTCTGACCAGTGCGGAGTAGCACAAGATGATCACCTCCTTTATTCTGGACGTTATACTCTTATTAATACAGCCCAAGGTCACAATACTTTTTTTTTTTTAAAGATTTGTTTTTTTGATGTGAACCATTTTTTTTAAAGTCTTTATTGAATTTGTTACAATATTGCTTCTGTTTTTTGGTTTTTTGGCCGCGAGGCATGTGGGATCTTAGCTTCCCAACCAGGGATCGAACCTGCACTCCCTGTATTGGAAGGCGAAGTCTTAACCGCTGGACCACCAGGGAAGTCCCCACAATACTTTTTGTAACAACCAAACCGTGCTTTTGACTCATGGATCATGAAGAGTTTTCATTTATTCTAAAACCCTCTAAGCAACGTCTCTCACTTCCTACGGTTGTACTGTTACATTTTGGAATTCAAATAGGTGACTTCATATTTGTCCCTGTAAACTTTGATTTTGCTATAGTGAGTCCAGCCTCATGACTGGTATATATCATACCAGCCTCTTGACAGCTCTACGAATTCTTTTTCTGTCATCTCACATTTTGGCTCTCTCTCCCAGCTATGCGTAATTTTCAAATTTGATCTAGTGACATTAAAACAGAAAGAACCCTTTTGTGTGTGGTCATTCAACTGCTTAAGAATCGCTTAGAATCCCCACATTTCTTTATATTGTCCCAAGAGTATGGTGAGAGAACGTTTTATTGAACTCCAAATACATTGTAGGGGTAGCATTCTCCTCATCTGCCCATCGAGTCACCCTATCAAAGGAAATGAGCTTGAGTGGGGAATGACTTGTTTTTCCTGAATCCATGCAGAGGCTGAGTGATCTTCTCTTCCTTTTGTAAGTGCTCACCAATCCTCCTTTTAATCATTTGTTCTTGAATATTGCCTTCAATCAATATTTAACTCGTTGATCTCAGTGACACCACAGCAGTGTGCATCCCTTTCACCCTCCATGGGGTTTTCAAAGACATCACCAGTTGTCCTGCAACTTGAGCTGCAGGTCATCATAATGCCCTGGGCTGTTATTGACCTAAACTATGAGATGGAGTTGCTCAGAGCAGCTAAAGGCTCTCTGGGACTAGACTGCCTTGAGGAGCCTCTCTCTGGGGCTCACTTTGTCCCTTTGACTCTGAAAATCCTTCTCTTTGCAGAAGAGAAGGAACACAAAGGTTGCCTAGGAGGTTTTGATTCCTCTCTGTAAAACCATTAGCAAATGAAAAAGGGCGCCCCATCACTCATCTGGTAACACCCAAACTCCTCAGCTGTTATGAAGGCCTCCACAACCTACCTTTCCAATCTGATTTCCCACCGTTTAACTTGAACCCTCTACTTCGGTCAAGTCAGTTCCCTCACTGCTCCTCAAGCACATCTAGACCTTATCTCCATGCTCTGGCTGAGGACTTTCTCCCAATTTGGAATGCCCACTATTCCACCCATCTACCCAGATCTCATCATAGCCTTTCTTGCAATTTCTGTAACTCCTTTAACGTTTAGCATACAACTGAAGTCACAGAGATTATGCATGTCACTCATTTGATCATAGTTCAGTTTTGTCTTCCTGACAGTATGCACACCAAAAGGGGTATGTTTTATCCCTCATGGTATATAAACCAGCACAGGGCCTGGCCTACAGTCCTGATAACCATCTTCACTTCCTACAGAGATTTTCCACAGTGACCAACCTCTGGCCCTTCACACATACCACAAGTTCAGATCCCAAGATAGCTGTGTCCAGCTCCTCAAAGGACTAATATAGAAACTAGATAAATCTAGGGATGCAGGCTGGACCTGGTCTAGGCACTAATGATTTTTGCAGTGTGAAATCAAATCTAACTATACCCTCAGCCCTTTAAACAAGAACCTGGGCTTTCTTAGCTGGGCTCAGGGCTGGCGGTCAACAAGGGGGCCAAGAACACTCAAGGCACCCCGGGACAGCACTGACTGTCAATTAGACTGAAACCCTGCCTGCCTTGGAGGTCACTCAGACCTTCTGAAGGTGTGAAGACCAACTGTAATCTCTCACTGATGGGTCCCAAATAGGATTGGAGCTGGGTTTGCTATGGCACCTTGAGTTCTTAGAGGAGAAGCAATGTCTAAATCTTCCCAACTAGAAAGCCTCCTAATTTGGAGGTACACACACACCCCCCATAAGAGGAGGCCCAATTTGGTAATATCTGACATGGAGCAATGAAAGGATCATGACAACAAAGACTCTGAATTGATCTAAAATGGTCACGTAACCCAGCCCTCTCCGCCTTCAGGAAGGTGAGCACCATGGCTTCCCTTAGTCATTCACTCAATTTGGCAATTATTATTGAGGACTTACTACGTGCCATGATCAGCTCCTATCTACAGCAAAGTTTTGCCGTGTGTTTAACAATCTTTTCCCCTCTATCTGTCTCAGAAGAAATGGAGAACAGATCACCAGCTCTGTCCTTATTTAAGAGTTACATTTTTGAAGATGGTATAGCACACTTGTCATATAGTAGGTGCTCTACAATTATTGAATGTTACTTCATCAGCTTCTTCCTTTCTAAATTAAAAAAAAAAAAAAAACCCTAGTCCTTTGGCACATTGTTTTTGCTCTTCTCCAGACCCTCTGCAGCTTTTCTACATATGCTGAAAATGTGTTGACCAAGGGCAGACCCACGACTGTTTTCAAAGGCCTAACCAATACTAGGTAGAGTGGAGAAAGTTGAGGAGCATGAGAAAGGTCATATGTTACTGGACTGCATTCTAGATCTGTTTCTAACACTGTGACATTGTGCTTTTCTGAGCCCATTTACCCAATTATAAAATAAGTGGGTTGGACTACATGACTCTGAGGTTACTTCTAATTCTAAAAATTCGGATTCTGATTACTTCCCAGGGATTCCATCCTA